ATTATATTGCTATAAGTAATTTTCTATTTCTCATAGATATCTGATATTTTAAGATCAAATTTGGATGGAATTCAAATATTTAAAAGAAGAATAACAATTTTAGTTATTTTGTTCTAACTTAAAAATATTATTCAAGGGTAATTGAAACTTTTTACGTTCATTATTACGTTTTGTACACATACAATAACGTTTTTAAAATGCATTTTTTGGCAATAATTATTTCAACTCTAACAAGTACTTATATAGTAAAATAAATTACTTTAATAGCGACAATATCATAAACTTAGGTAGTAATATAGGTTGACAGACTGTCTTTACCTAGAATCGTTTTATGTATACAATGGTTTCATATTATTGATTTCGAGTTCATCACGTCCATATTACAGTACCCTACACCTCGCCAAATGTTCAGCAGAGCCACTTGTACTGTATCTTTTTAAGCATTTGAAATTTGAATGCTCCCAAGTCCCAATGTCTATATAGTTTTAATTTCAGCTATCACATAAAAATGTATGTAGCTGTACACCTGTGAGCGAAAATTAACTACAAAATAATTTACTTTCAAATTGTTGTGGTTTTAACGTGTTTCGAATAATTATTGAACTATTAAAGTTTAAAAAAAATGTGACTTGTGTATTTTGTATGTATTTTAGTAGTAAAATTGCTGTAAGAAAAACTTTTGATGAACCTTGTAATACATTTTCTAGCTCTTTAATTACAAAAATCTGTGGATATCACAAAAAAGCCAAAATATTTTTAAATAAATATGTCACAAATGATAATTATTATTTAGAGAAAAATTCAAGCCTCTACAGTAGTCTTTTTGAACTACAATAATAAAACTATACTATTGTTGAACGCTTTTATAATTTTATTGTATGGGTCACGTGAACTCTTTTGATTGGTGACTTGAATATAAGTTCAGTTTTTAAAAGAACTTTCAAAACACTATACCTACTTAACCTATACTATTATCTAAACAATACTATGAAGACGGTGAAAAAACGAAGTTAAGTACATGTACGTTTCTTTTTACAAAATCCGTTTTCTATTCGACCTTTCCTTTCTCGTTTCTCGACATACTCAAAATATGTTTAAGTAAGGATAACACAATTTTGTGGGTGACCAATAAAACTGAGGAAATACAAATCAACACAAATGTCAACACGTACAGTAAGTAAAATTGATACCACTTTAGATTAAACGAATAAGATTTCATGTGCGCCGCTCCTTTGTGACTAAGTACATAATCTGTCAAGTAAGGCAGTAAACAACAGATTCTGCTGGCGATATCGGTTGATGCTTGAATACTTTTGATGTGATTTTAGCGTTTTTAATGTACCTAGTAAAATATAGTGAATTATAGTATTGTTATATATTATACTATTAAGTTTATTTTTAGATTCTGAGTGGAGCAATAAATGTATAATGATTTCATAATTTTTTTTCCGTGGGTGTAATTACTCATCTGCACCTTTTGAGGTACTAAAAATTCTCAATTTTCTACTTCAGCATCTTTTTTGGTAGGAATTAAATCTAGCTAATGCTTAGGGGGATCAAAAGTAAAAAATGTTTAGAAGTGCGGGAAAAAACCAAAATTAAAAATCACTAGTACATTTATTAACGCTTGTTCTAGGTGTACAGGCAGTGATGACATTTTGATGGACGAACCAAAAGTGAAATAGATTACCCCGAGGGGTGATTGTTCGATGAGTTCTAACTTCTAATACATCCTGAAATTAATAATGGCTTATATTTATATGAACCATGACCTTAGGGCTTAGACCATATCCATAGACCTTATGCTACAGACAAGCAATGCATGTATGGAAAGAGAACAACATTTGGTTACTCGATTACTCGTACGCACGGTATAAAATATATAGATGTATAGATTATTGTATTTTGTCTTCAAGACAGCCTACATCACTGCGTAATGTTGTTACGCCTCTCGTAATGCTGTTGTTATTGGTTCACAGTTCTTGTCTAGTAGTATAATAATTAATAGGTTTATGTGTCATATTCTATTAGGTACTTCATTAAACTATACTCATTTAATAAAAAACATCATTGTTTTAGTATCAATAATCAAACGAAAAATTTCCAACCACTTTGTGAGGGGGGGGGTGTATAGTTATATACTGCAATTTTTTTTTATACTTAAGGTCTGACTAATTTTAAATGTATTTTTGTTACATTGGTACAAGACTCCTAAGCTCACAATTTTTCATTAAACGATATAGCTACGACAATATGTTTGAAATTTTGAATATTATATTATACCTATAATCTATGGTAATAATGTTATTTTATTTCAAACAATCTATTTCAACGTCATAAATCATGAGTCTAGTAACAAATCTTTGCAGCCTTTCGCAGATAGCAGAAGTATTCCACGAGACTCGAGGAAGTCCGTGTGGACGGGAACTTATAACGATTACTCCATAGTGGATAATAATATATTATAATTTATAAATTATAATATAATTCATAAAATGTACCTATATAGTATATATATAACCTTTTCAGTGTTAAAAGATGCTCAGCCATGTATTATTTTAAATTAAATTACCAAGGTAAATCTAGTAGGTACTTAGGTGCTAAGTATTATACCTATATGGCATATTCTGCTCTAGTGCACTATATTTACTTGCGGTCAGTTCTTGAGTTCACGCAGATGTATTCCGCCGATATTGATGACATTCGGCGGAACGGGGTTCGGATTGGAACTATTATGAAATGTTTGTTTACAAACACTATATAGACGCCGGGTGAAGAGTTAATAGAATCGTACTCTTTCGGTTCGGTGTATTTCAAAATTGATTCGGTGTACTCTTTTATGATCACGCAATAAGCCAACATAGCAGTGTTGACCAATCTCTGTACGAACTTCTCGGGGACGGCATGGGCGCATGACGGGCAAAGATGTAAGAAACCGTGGAGAGATTCTACATATTGTGTCCGGTCATGGAGTATTCCATAACGAAGTGGACCATTGGCGACCCCGTAACGTAGATCTGAGGGCCCAAAGGTGCAACTAGAGGCCAAATACTTTGGGTGCTAAAATTATGCAGAGGAGCAGACCCGCGGGGGGTTACGCCCTCTCCCCCCCCCCAACCTACCCTACCTAACCTATTTCATAAAAACTAAAAAAAAGTAAGTAACGATACATAATTGTTTAAAATGTTCAGTAAATATAAATCATAAATGTAAAATTGGCTTACTTTGGTATAAATATTGTTTTCAATAAAAATAAAAATGTAATCCTTATAGTGAAATGGGCCACTATTGCGCTGAGCGCCTTAAATTATTTTACTATATAGATTATAGATACCTGGAAGTGCTGCTATAATATTTTCATTCAATTCACAAGATGAACTTTAACAAGAGGTTCCAGGATTATCAATACATTCATCTTCTATAAAGTGATTGTTTTTTTTGTTTTTTTTTCATTCAAATTAAAAATATTCAACATTTTGAAATTTATAATAGTTAACATACTTTACAGATCACATCAATATAAGGAAACGAAATATTTTATTGAAGTCGTACAAATGGGTTTAGATAATGACAACTATTAGGCAGCGTAATACGTGTACACTATAATATGATTTTTAATAAACAAATGCCAAATGCCCAATTTGTGTTTCGACTAAAAACATCAAATAAAAAAAATCTTTTTTCATATGATTTTTAAATTTTTGGTGATTTTGATCTGGGGGTGCGGTAGCACCCCCAACCACCCTCCTAGTTGCGCCTCTGTCTGAGGCAAGTTCAATCTCGTCGCCAAGTACGAAACGCAGTCCGAGGCATACGGTTCTATGATGACTAAGTCGTAACGATCAAACGAGTGATTTGAGTCCAACACTTCTCTCATTCGGTCATTCTTGTAGACCTTGTCACACATGACACATATCCCTACACATTGTTATCATCATGTCCATATTCCCCGTCAGATTAATCCATCTGTTTATCATTGTATTTATTTCTGCAAAGTTTTGGATTTTCCACAACGCGTAAAATATGTCCACTTTCGTGTAGTTTTCTCGGTTAACTTCGATGAATGGTATGAATAAGGTGACGTTATGTCCACCATCAACCAGCGTCCGGAGGGTGTCGGTCATAAATTTCCAGTCGCTAATACTGCCAATCCGCTCCACTGTTAATATTCTCGCGCCATCGGCTGCTATCGATCGCTGGAAGATTCGTGAACCGACAAACGCAAAAACTAGTACAGAAATTAAACGCACATACACAGTATATTATTCAATTAAAACACCTTATTGTTGTTTTTTTTTTAGAAATTGATACGATGTGGTGATGGTGATCGACGTAATCGAATAAGTTCATCACGCACTGAACTTTAGAATAATAGTTCTCGATTGAAATTTAGTAGGTTTAATTATGAACTAAATTAGTAAAGATATTGTTTTTCAAAGATGTGTTACACATAAGTAGGTACCTATATGGGTGTAATGAAAATGTAAAATAGAACTAGGTAATAAAATTATAAAATTACATTTTGAAAACGTTATTGAAATAATGCATTAATGCCATATTATAATCTTGAAGTAATACCGCACAGAACATAGATTTAGTCTATTCTGTAATAATACCATATCATTTCAAGTGTAAAAATGAGTGAACAAAAAAATAAGTTTGTACCTTTCATGATTTTACGACCTGTGTGTTTTCGTCGAGTGAAGGGATAAGGTAACCAATAAAAGTATTATATATATTATTATTTATTATACACATAATGTAAGTTCCTACAGTCCTACACGGTAGAAAAAGGTAAAAATTCTTACCCGGCAATAAAATATATTACTATATTTCATAAATTAATATTATATAAAATACAGAATTTTTCTGTAACAAGTTTAAAATGTTTATAGAACGTATAAAATATAAACAATATTTTTCTTTACAATTATGAAATATAATGACATGAAATTCAATGCTTTAACATTTTAAAATTTAAAATTTAATGTCGTGTATGACAAATGACAATGAAATATAATTGTATATTATAATAATATATTTGTCTGACATGTAGGAATGTACAGGTACATATCAAAATCTCATTTCTACATTTGTGTAGGAATCATTTACGTGTGTAACTTTTTATCTGCTACCCTCGTGTAGGAACTTGCGATACCTCGTATTTTGTGGTATAATCGAGTTTTTCGCCGATCACCGACATCATGGCGCGCTCTGTATGCGCTTAATAATTGTCTTGTTTGGCGTTCTATAGGCGAGATAGCGCCCCACATCTAGTAGCCAATACTCAAATACAAGTACACATTTTAGATCGCTATTTTTAACCCGTTATTTTTGCTATTTAAAATCTTTTCATGAATTAGTTTTTTTCAAAATCGAATTTAGGAATAAAGGCTTGGTCCAACCTCTTGGTCATTCGACTGTATTTACAATATTTACATTATAATATTACTATATTAGTGTACAATTGTTACATGTAACTTAAAATTAGAACAGCGTATATAATTTGTATAGTTATATTGGATAGGTATTTAAATTATTTTGTGTATAGGTTCTTATATTTACTGCGACGATAAATATGGTGAAAAAATTGGTCTGCTTAAATCGTTGGTCCCGCCTATCAACACTCAAATGATGTCACTGTATCTACCTACGACCATAGACGTATATTATATTATACGTCTATCGTCTTATGGTATCTTCAATTTTTTTTACTATGATGGCGTCCATCGCCGTCGTGGCCGTTACAGTCATCGTTGAGTAATCCTGATATAATGCTCGGTCAATCGCTTAATTTTTCATTTCAGCAAAGTATTTGATTTTAATATTTTAGAACCTCACATCACTCTGAATCCTAAATTGAATCTCATCGTCCATCTGTGTATCATAGTTATATCATTTTATAAAGGAGAAAACTTCGTTTATATTCATTTGATACAGTACAAAAGTGTCCACTATTGTAAGAAAATATACCTTCGAATCGAGACAAAATGACATCTGATACCAAACTAGAAGAAAAACCTTTAACGGGATTCTCAAAGTATTTCAATACAACGACTATAAACGGTCGAGTGAATGTAAGTAAACCATTAGTATGCAGCGTGTCGTCAAGAGCGTTTTAACGTACAGGAATTTAAGATATTTTTTATCGTTAAAATAAGAATACCTAAATTTTTACAGGTTTTTAAAATTCAAACATTTTGAATATTTCTTTATTGGGAGGGGCTGAACAGTTATTCCGAACAAACCCTACTGTAGTTTACCCTTAAACATTTGCTTACATCTTGCAATATTATTTTGCCGTATTTAATTGATACACTGTCATGGCTAATAAGTCGAAGTTTATTAAAATAAATAATTCTAAGCATCATCGTTGTTATACAATGACAACTATAATGAGCGAAGATAATCCATTAGCATTACCTAAGTATCAACCTATGTATAATTAATTTGCGATTTTGATAAAATCGTAAAAATTTGAAATTCAAACCTTCATAAAAAATGAATGTGATTTGTGGCTCTGAATATCTATTAAATTCTTGCAAGAAAAAATAATGAGAGACCTTGTGGCTTGAACTAAAAGTTATTTTCAAACTATTCTACCTTTGAGATTAAAATTAAAGTTAAAATCTAAAGATTTTATTACAAGAATTTCAGAATTTTTAATGTTTGACGAATTTTGTTGGTTTCTGTGATATTTATACATTAAAAATGGTTTTACATTTTAAAGATAATAGTTTTATTAGGTTCTATTGTACTAACATAATAAACCAAACTATGTGGTTTGAAAAACACAACAGCCCTCAAGCCAAACGTATGATTGTTCTGCCAAATCACTAAATTTTTAATACTCAAATGTAGAAGTATACTTGAGAAGCCCAAATTACATCAGATGAACTTTTTTTAAGTATTATACATTATAAATGCTGAATTAGATCATGATCAAATTATATACTTTAGCCTCTGTTAATCTGTTATATATAGATTTCCTGTGCTACATTTGCAACATTAGGAATGTTTTTGCTGTACGTGAAATTCAAACCGAAGCTGGATAAAAAGTCACAGACAAGCAATGAAAAATAAATACACAAAAAGTTATTTATTTTTTTGTAAATTTTTTCTTTTTGATATATATAGTGGTTTTCATTTTTCAAAATTCTATTTAAAAAACAAAAAAAAAATATATATGTAATAATGAAAATAAAATGATAATAATAACTGGTATTCTTTTATAATAAATATAATTATTTACTAAAATAATATGGTTTTCAAAATTATTATATTATTATTTACAAAAGCAAATTGAAATGTATTAAAAGTATACGTTTAATATTAAAGTAAAACACGCAAGTTCGTAAAACCTGTTAAAACAAATGTAGTGTCTCCTATCAACTTAAATGCCCCTTAGATAAAAATATAAATCAAGAAGTTATCACAGCTTCTACATGTGTTTTAAGTGGCAATCTGGTGTGCCTACGCTCTTAAAAATAATCATAATTTAAATATATAACTCTACACATATTTTTTTCATTGTAAAATTACTTTTTTAAAGTACATTAAGAGAAAATAAAAAAATACTTATATAATTCAATGTTTAAATTAGTCAAAAGTTTCTTAATTATTATTATTTACACAATAATGTTCATCTACATTTGGGCATACTTATAGTTGATAACTAACATGGAAATATTTTTATTATTAAGAAATAAAACAATTATTTACATATTTAAAAATATTCCTCATAGTTTATTATTTGAGAATAGCTAAATATAGAAAAAAAAAATTGTGTAAATGTAAATGCTTATAAAATTAGTTGACGTATATTTTTAAGTAAAAAAAAATAAAATTAAGAGTTTTTATTAAATTTAAACCACAGACTCTATCTGCTTTATTTCTTGCAATGGTGGTTTATTAGGGGTAGGAGCTGTTTCAATGATAGTTGGGACCTGGTGATGATGATGGTGTGTGTTTTCATCCTCTTCATCGTCTTCTTCATCATCTTCATCGATTGGAGTCAGCGCATCATCGTCGTCTTGAGGCAGGGCCATCTGTCTCTGGTCCAAATAACGTTTTAACGGAGCTGCCATAAAACTAGTTATTGCAGACAACAGGAAGAATACAGCAGCCATAAAGAATGGCCAGTCATATGATTTTGTATAGTCATATACTGCACCAGCTAATGGTGATCCAATAATTGCGGCCGCCCCACGGAATAATATCAAAAGACCAAAGGCATTTGTAAGCTTGTCCAGACCCAATAGATCCACAAGAATGATGGATGTTAATGATATGTAGCCAGCTAAAACATAATAAATAAAATATTTTATCAAAATGATTAATTTGTGCTTATATGTTGATTAATTAATACTCACAGACTGCAATTCCAAAGAAGACTGCCATTATAACATAATGAGTGTAGGTGACACAGAAAGGAGTTGCAGCAACAGCAGCTGTACTGATTAATAAACATACATTATTGAGGAACAGCGAATCAACCCAAGGGAAATCGGCTACAAAACCACAAACTACGCGCCCAATGGTATTGGTTATACCAATAATAGACAGGAGAAATGATGCTTGACTTGAATCGATATGTGAACTCTAAAAATTTATCATATAAAGACAATTTAATTTGATAAAAGAAAAATCTTGGGTATGCCAATAATTATTTATTGTATAATGAACTATCAAAACTCACAGATTCTTTGGCAGCATCTACTAAATACACAAAAGGTACATAAAGTCCAGCCATGCCAAATACATTGCTGATGCCAATTATCATAAACACAGGATCTTTAAGTAAACTTGTGTCCATCATCGAAGACAATACAGAGTTAATAGATTCTGGTAAAAATGGACAGCAACCTTCTGCAATATATAATCAACAATTCAGTGGTGTTCTTTCACCTTAAAAGTAGTTCATATCAAACAGACCGTCTATTTCGTCATCATCATCTTTATCGTTATCTTTCATCATGGATTTTGGTAACGACAAAATACTTTGGCGATAACTGGCAAGTGATTTTTGTGATCGGTATTCGGGTAAATTCAAAACACTACCCGAGTAAAAGATATCTTTTCTGGACATTGGACGAACTGTTTCTTTTCCTCTTATGCTTGTTTTAGATGAAGTGTATCCAATACTGTCTGTATCCACCTGAACATTTGAAAAGTAAAAACAGTTAAGTTTAATTTTGTTCATGGGTTCAAAGTTATATGAAATAAATTTTATTTCTAAATATAAAATATATTGATATGCCATCACCCGAGAGAATCAAGCACACAGAAAATGAAATCAGTAAATTTCTAATGCAAGATAACTATTCCAAGAAAACTGTAGAATTATATTCTCTCGGCAGATAGTGTATAATATACTATTTATTTATAAATAGATAAGTTATTGAAACACTAACATTTGACCACATATCTTCGGCGTTATTGTTTTTACTACCAAGTATTGATACATTTGATAATCTTAAATGTATAGATTTACGAATATCTCCATTTGAACTGAGATTAGGTCGAGACACTTTTATGGGCCCCAAAGTAGGTCGGTAACGTTCGCTGGCACTTGTTTTTCGAATACGGTCGAAAAATGGTACTGAGCCATTTTTTGGTAAACCTTGAACGTGTGTAGTAAATGCAGGTTGAGAAGCATTTCTTGGAATGGCGGCCTTCACTTCAGTCAACTCTCCATTTCCATTTGATTCACCATTTTGTTCAGGTACTTCTGGTTTTGAGTTTTCTATTTTATTGTCTTTTTTATCAGATTTAAATTCTCCACTTCCAGCATTGCTAGAACTATTGCTAGATCCACTCTGTTCTGGAGCTTTTACTTCTTTAATTGTAGGTAAAACTGCCATGGTTGGTATTGGTGTCATAGGAGATCCAGTGCCACCTACCAATTCATCTAAGTTAAAACTTGAATGAACTCCAGGATCAATGTTTAGTGGTAACTTTTGTCTTTTTTCTAATGACCCATCTTTAAGTTGTACAATGAAATATGATCCACCTATCGAACCACGTTCCATTTGCATGCGCTTTTCATCTGCCATTCTTTGGAGTAATGGTTTACAGCCTTCATTTGGATATTCTAGAGGCTTCATTAAAGCACCAAACAACTGAAATAAAAATAAAATATTAAGATGTACATCTAACAGTATGCAGTTAAATAAAAATAGTAGAACAGATGAACCAAGAAGAAACTTACGGCACACGACAAAATCATCCCAGCAAGTATCAAATTTGAGACTTTCCAATCAAAGTTTTTGAGAAGCATAGTGGCAAGGGGTGCAAAAGCAAAGGTACCAAAACCAGAACCACATACAGCAATACCGGTGGCCAATGATCGCTTTGTTTCAAAGTAGTATCCAACACATACTACAGCTGGCAAATAGATAAGTCCAAATCCAATACCTAAAAAACATTATTTTTTAATTGAAGTATTTTTTTTTGAAAATTTAATTGGTCAATGTAAGGTAATCTAAATTAATTTATATAATTTTAAAGACATTTTAGAAAAACAGCTTGATAAAACCACAAGCATCCACATATTACCCGACTTAAACATGCTAAACCTAAATACAATATATTATATGAACTATTAAAAAATTAAATAATATTAAATTAATATTACAACACATTATAGGTATTACTTATATTAAATAAAAACATGTAGTTATATTAATATCTTAAAGTATATATGTAATATATATGTCTGTGTGTTTATACATGATGTATAGATAAATATTAAAAGTAAAAGTTGTTTTTGACAATTATTATTATTACTTAATGCTTATTTAATACATAAAAACGGCAAACTTGATGAAACAATACTTTAGTCCTATATTTTTCAATCAGTGGTGATTCAAGGTTTTTATAATATAGTATAATATAAAATTAAAAAATATATTTATAAACTACGATTTACTTTAAATCAGTATTTGCTACACTCAATCATATTTTAATAATAAAAGCAATTGAATTAGTTTTAATCCACTTCAACTTGGTTTTACACAATATTTGAAGTGAGAAAATCAATAAAAAATAATAGAACATCTTTAACACTTAATGAATATTAAGTCAGTTGGCTATTCCTAATTAATACTGAACTTTGAATAGAATGAATTTCTAAAATTAGAGTAGTATGTCTAATATTGAATTTTTTTAATCAAAATTTCTTTAAGAAATGCATCAAAAATAATTTTAGCCGGTTATGAATCCTAACATTAATTGATCCTATAATTGAAAAAATTCATCTATAAGAAGTATGATATTTAACACATTTCAAATGAAATAAATTAATAGTGGTACATAATTGATTCCACTAGGGCTACAATTAATATGCATTGCTGTGCTATTTTTGTGTCTTGAGAAATTTAATTAGCTATGTCCACTAATTGCTTCATACTAATAAATATGATTTATTTTTTACTTAGCATATTTTATGGTAAGTTTAAATAAAAGTCATGTTAAAACGCTTGTCTTATTTCAATAATTTAATTTTCAATTATCTTAAAATCATTGATTTTGTCTTTGACGAAAAAAATGAAATAACATATTTAAAAAATGCAATGCAATTATTTAAAATCAAGACTGATAAAAATGGTTTTGTTTACATAAAAAGTAACTTATTTCAATTTCAATTATAAGAAACTTTGCTTTCACTTAATGATAGTTTGGAAAATATTGGTTAACTCATTGCATATTTTATTATATTATAGTGCACATAAATCTTAAGCCTGCTTATTATATATTTAACCATATTAAAACAATTATGTAAGTTAAGTAAAAATGCATTCTTAATAAAATATTTGTAGGCAATAAATTTATAACTTTAACTTATAATTACCTACCCATAATTCTTATATTTACAGAATTATTTTCTATTTAACAAAAATAAATAGTTGAAAAATAATTAAATAATGGAAGGAAAAATGAATTATTTATAAAACTAACAAAAAATATATGGTAGTAACTATTAAAGCTGGTCTGATATATACATCTTCCATAGACAATTCATTTTTTTATATATTAACAGTCTAAAAATATTATTACTTATTAGTTATTAGTAATTTATTGGCGTACACACTAATTTATTTATTAATAAAAAAATAATTAATAAGAAATAAATTTCATTGTACATTTGAATCATAGAATTAAAAACATTGTGCAATTTAAGGGAAATTATAGAATTAATGTTTTATTTGAAGTAAGTACATTTTTGGTTTCATATATTCATTAAGAGAATTAAAATCCAGCATTCTCACAAAATAGAGTTCAACAGAAACAATTTTGTGTTGTAAGCTTTGGACTTGGAATGAATTGAGCTGAAGTCACTTTAAAGGAAATAATATTATTTAGGCCTATACAACAACTACTCATAGGCTTTTAATATTTATTTTTAAATGTGAATTAAGAGCATTTTAAAATAATAATATTTTACTTAGTTATAACTCACTTTAAAATTGAAATATCAATACAATCCTATGAGGGTGCCATAGACAATATTCTCACCTTTAAGTTTGATAATAAGCCAATTCACTCTAATCTTGAAGCTAAAAATATAAATATGGTATGTTGTATGACAGAGGCACAATACATGCAGATTTGGCGTCCTCCTTAAGTTAGAAATATTATAATTCAAAATCTTAAGATCTTTAAATATTTTTGCACAGAAATGCTCATAATGGTATTTCAACATTAAATAGTTTAAATTTAATTAATATTAAATTAGACAAACTATTTACAAACATTTCCTAATAATGGAAACTTCCAATTAATGTACTTTCTTGTATACTTTTTAGCACTTATCCTATATACATTGATGTGAATCTATATTCTATTGCCGGCTCCCGCATCCTCCCGAGTTAGCCTACGATCGAAACCAGTTCTCCTATGGCAGGGTGTTGTGTTGTGACATGTTCTCTCATAGAACAGAATATAGTCACTGTAATTCATAATAAAAATGAAGACTTATATGCGATTTCCTAAATTAACACAAACATGCTTTGTATGCAAATAATCTCACTTATAATTGTACATACTGAAAATATATTGTATTTGAATACACAACAAATAACTTTAACATGTAAATTTTGAGTACCTTACAACAAATTAAAGTTTGATTAAACAATAACTTAATTATTGTTATTTATAACACAAGTTCTAAAAATCAACAGAAATATGCTTCTACTTCTCTCATCCTAAAACCCTGCGATTTTTTTTCAGACTATTAAGTAAAATAAATTCTTATTTTCGTGCAAAGAATATTTAGTTAACAAATTGTGTATGTACATTACATTTAAATTAAATTATAAGCTATATTATATTAACAGAGAATAACTGTTCAAATCTAAAAAGTAATTTTTTTTTAATGGTCATTAAAAATTAAATATTAAGTGTGTGCGCCAAAAATATACATGATTTCTCAAAAAAATAACTTTTTTTAATTTATAAACATGACAATCACATTCATACAAAATTATTTAAAATTACTTATTTTTTAATAATCAGTTTTGTGTTTGTAATTCTAAGTTGTGATATTACTGACATATTTGTTGTTAAATATTTATAAGGTATAAATAAAAGTAAAAAAAAAAGTACATAATGTGGAGACTCGACCAATAGCATTGGAAATTCAATGAATCAAAATAAATATAAAGTAATCATTGTAAGAATAAATACTCTCCTAATGACTTAGGTTTTGCAAGTATAAAAAAACTTTTAAAAATTTAAGAAAGTGAATTGTATCAAACAAATCTAATTAAATGGGGATAAAAAAAAAACAAAACAAAACAATTAATTGATACTTAAAAATTGTCCTAACATACCTTTTGTCCTAAACAATTATTTTAACCATGGGCTAATTTTTTTTTTTAGAGTAATCATATATATTTTTTGATATGACGATAGCTGATGTCCGTTGAGGTGGGATGTCGTACCACCTATAAACAAGGCAATGTAACAATCTTTACTCAATTAGGTTAGGTTATCACAGGCCGACAGATTACATACACGGCTAGTACATTATTACCTGTCCAGCTACCAACATTTTTAGAGGTAGCCAGACAATATATTGTATAACTTACCACCCATAAAACCATAAGTGAGCATCAAGACATTGACGTTTGGTGATAGTGTACTGAGCGCAAAGGCTATGGATGCGATGACACTGCCTGCCATACACACTACACGACATCCGTATTTGTTGGTTAAAGCACTGACAATAGGACCTGTATAACAAAAAATTATGATTAAAAATTAATGGTGGTTGCCAGATGTAAGAACCTGGCCAAAATTAAAACTTAAAAATACATTTAAAATTATATTTTTGAAAGTTTATCTAAAATACATAATTGATATACAACAATATTACATTATTGCTGTTTATTTAATATTAATAATGTTATTACTTTAGTGTTTAATCGCTTCAGTGCCTTTTTAAATCAAATAACTGATGCATTGGTGCAACTATTAACACCGAGGTACCCACTTTTTTAGTATAATTATGTTAATGATTTGTTTCTTAGAGATTTTGTGTTATAAATTTACAATAAAAAATTGATTCTTTACCTGAAATAAACCTATTTTAAAAACGGGTTCGATTTCTTTTAATACATTATGTAAATATTAAAAATAAATAATATATTATGAACAGTAAGAATTATAAAAGTAGGAAAAAATAATAATAACAACCTGGACAGTCTTAAACTTATAAGTCTTACAGTCATGATAATGAAAACATTTTTTTATGCAGTGATAATAAATTTGTCTTCCCCACCTTTCCTAGAAGTTTAGAAGTAGTTAATAGGATATCACCTACAAACATAATCTAAAACTAATTATAACTTTATTTCATGTCAATAATATTGCTATTTCTGACACCATCGTACTTCTAACTTTTAAGTTTTTGAGTATGACATAATTAAGGCGTCGGTATACTGTAATGATTATAAACATTGAATGTTTTGTTATTATATTTATGAAAATTTTGTGTTGTCATCTTTAATGAAAATTTTTTTTTTTTACTATTTTCATAATGCACAATACCTAATAAGTACAAAAGTTTGGACTTGAACTGTCTTGCAGGTTTAATTTAAAATAATTATTTTATTTTACATTATTTTTTACTTATAATTTTTTGTTGTAGAAGAATATTATATAAGCTTTCTTTTGAAATTTTAATTTATTTATAACTTATGAGCATTTTAAAAATTTAAATATATTTTAGTACATTTTAAAATATCTTTTTCAAAAAATGGAATATCAAAAAACAATTTTGGGGACAAGGATATTCTGAACTTTAAATTTGATAATTAGTCAGGTATAATATGTTATAGTTACAACATCTGTCAACATTTTATCACTTTAATATTAAAAATGATTGAGTGAAATAGATTTTTCTGAACATAAAATGTTCTATGTTCTGCATTAGTAAAATAGAGACTAAGACTACATATAGATTATGATATCCTCTTGATGGCTAAATCTTATATTTACAGTAGTTCAATATTATAATAACTAATGATCCATTTTCGGGTAAATTAATTAACTATGCCCCCCTTCCCCACACTCATAATTAAAAGTTCCGTCATTTTTATAATTTTGATTTTAGGCAGGGTTTCACGAAAACATCCCTCTAACAGAGGAGTGCGACGAAATGACATACCTGCGCTGAGGTACATTCCGGACAGGAGGCTACCGACCCAAGCAGTCTTGCCCTTGCCTTCTCCGAAATAGGTGACGAATTCGCCAAGGAACACTCCAAAGGTGTAAGCGATTCCGTCCACAACCATGTTGCACATGAAGCTGGCGAACACGATGACCCAACCGTATCCACCATCCGGCGGTGGCGGCAGGTCGTGATATTCGCAAAACGAAATCCCGTCGTCCTCGGTGTTCTGCACAGGCCCCATTGCCAAAGGCGGAGAGTTGGCATTTTGCCGACCTGCTTCGTCGGCTCGGTCGGCGGCCGAACATTCGCTTTCAGTCTGAAACAACGATAGACATCAAAATATTATAATACAATTGATGAAACATATTTCAACAAACGACACACCATACGAAACGAATTCGCCGCGTCGACCACGTTTGTTGAATAAAGTTAAGTAAATAACACAGTAATTATTTTTATTATAAGCGCGGCAATTTAAACATTTGAAGTAAAAAACCGTATGGCACAATAAATATTAAAAGTCAAATAGGTTCAATGTCATTAGGTCAAATAAATGTATATACTTTGGTTCCATTCATGTTTTCAATTTTATTATTTATAAATATTATGTGTAGTTCGCCGCTTCGACAGTCGCGTACTATTAGACATTCACTATGTGAATGCGATTATCGGCAAGCTGGAGCCAAATTATTTGTTAGCACAATCGAATAACTGTCTCTTATAGTCGAATCACTACCGTTCGTCAATTTAATATAGAAAATAAAAAAATAAAATTATAAAACGACTAACGCCACGATAATATAGTACCCAACGAATATTCCTCGACTATGATATGTGTATTGTATTTTGAAGCATTTCGCTCGAGACATCTGTACATGATCGCGAATAAGCCCTCGAAGAAGATAAGATTATAGCATAATACTTATTCATTATAGCCGTTAACAGAATACAATTCACTGCGATATAAGTAAGTATAGACATCACAACCGATTAACGCGAGTCTTAGGACATTTATACCGGTGTATATTATAGTATAGGAGCCTGATAAAACGTTCAACGTACTAAATACACGCGTATAGACAAACAAATAAACAACACAAGGTCGAAAAACCACAGACATGGGAAATTAATACGTTGTTACTAATGATATCGAAAACTTTTTTTTAGGATGAACGATTTGATTTTCAGAGGATATAAAAATATAATTATTTTAATAATATACCCATATACCTATATTATAATGTAATATACGACGGAACTGCGGTTGGACGATATTCAAAACGTACCTGTTGCATAGATTAAAATATATATTTGAAAAAAAAACAAAAAATATTAGCACAATATATATACTATATGTCTATATAGGTAAGACAATAAATAAAACTACACATACACAGTGCGATTTTCTTCCAATTCTATTGTAAATATTAAATACAAATATATATTCAATACATGTAATAATTATAGTATATTATATATTATAGGTACCCGTTACCCACAGTCTCATTGCATTTAAAATACGCATGGCTTTAGAAAACTTTTTCATTTTTACATATTATAGTACCTAATGTATAATAAGTGAGGATTGAATGATTACCCAATGAAACATTGCCAAGTGCTACCATATAGGTACTTATACTACAAACTTGGAGCAGAGCTATTAAATTGCTATGCAAAAATTTTTAAGGGACTTTTTTATTTATGCAATCCATACAGTCAAAAAAATCAAAGGCATACAGTTTTCATTGAATATTTGGGGACATTTTTCAATAATTTTAAGGAAATAGGTTAGAGCAATAGGTATCAGTATTTCTAACGTAACCCGTATATTATACATTTTATATCCATTATTGTGTGACATACATACAACATGTGATTCCAAACGTCATCAGCTCTGGGCAGAATTTCATCGCATCGTTGGGGATGAGAATATACTTCAAGAAGAATGTAATATTATAATACCAGAAAATATTACGTAATTGGTTCAATGTGATACCCGGCACGAGCCACGAGAAAAATTAAATGTGATGACGTTATCGATCCGACGCCACGGTATGATATAGTGTAATTTACGACGATTTTGAAGAAATCTAATGAATAATAATTAAAACACATCTACATCAATTAAAATTTTATTAATATCATATGCCCTATTAATCAAACAAATCGAAAACAGAACAATAAATAGTATATATACAGCAACGACTATACCGAATAATATACTGTTTACTACATTAACTATTACATATTTACATAATTCAAACCAATGTTTCATCACGTCGTCTGTTATTAAGTCGTAATAAAAATGAAGTAGGTGATGCATAATTGCCATAATGGCACAGTGTTAAAATTACTACTTATATGTAGGTTAAGTATGTCATTTGCTAATGTATAAAATAGTTAATTATTATCATCTTGGATAAAACACTGGTTGCTTACTGTTATAGTACTAAAGCCGTACACCCAACAACAATATTTTAAATATAATACGATTTAAATTTTTTACTAAAAAACGAGATCAACAAAATATTGAAATCAAAACGAATAAAAATCCTATATTCAAGAACATTTAATGAACTATTTTGTACTAATTTATGGAGAGAAATAATAAAATGATCTGTTAAACAGTAACAATATAGAGGGACAAGTTGTTTATTCGACGGTTCAATAACTTATACTGAACACATTAAAGTTCATTAAATAGCGGATGATTGCATGTCTTGGATGATGTCACTCAGCAAACAAACTAAATTATTAACTGGAATGAAATTGTGTATTGTTCTACTTTTTACAAAATATAGTCAAAACTGAATCAATGGTATACCATGTGCATATACGCATTGTCGGTATCAAGTATACTATACAGTATACCTACTTTAATAAATCTTAATTATAATTAAGTAAGTTGAAACCATATCAGTATTATAAAGTAACGTGTTAATTTTCAGTTATTTCATAAATATTTTTATCCTCAGTGTTTCATGATTTATAACGAACAATTCGTGAAATTATTTATACTGTAAAGTTACAACTAATGCGTAAATAATGACGTTTGGTTTTGTACGCACTTACCTAATGGCATGTGTAGCTAATTGTATTTTTATGATTGTCTGGGTCTAAACGATCTACGTAAAATATTTTGTCGAAACTGGGTAACTATGAACGTTTTTTTACGTTAGATGGATTTTTAAATGTCAATTGTCAACAAATATTCTAAGCGTTATATTTATATATATACATTATATTTTTAAGTATACACACATTTAATGTTCAAACATTATTAATTATTATGGTATATAATATGCTGTAAAGATCTTATAAAAATAAATTGTTCTATTGACTTGTAACAAAACTGTTAAAATTGTGTTCAAATAATATATTCAAGACCTAAGCAATATAGTTTGACTGTTATGCGACTGTATGATTCAAACCGTTATAACGTTTCGAGTTTTTAAAATCAAATTATGCTCTAAGAAACATTTTACTGCCACTTAAAGACATAGATAAACAATAGATATTATGTTCACCTACCTAGAAAAAAAAATATAATTCACTTAAATTAGTCTAATTATTTGATCTACGCTTACATAAAAACATAATATGTAACACGGATTAATCGTTCCAATAATTAAAAATGTAAGTACCTCTAAGATAGGTATGCATAAACAATTGACAATTCTTCAAGACGAATAATTTATCAATTAAACAAGTGTTTTTTTAATAAATCCCTCATAAATCTAAGCCAACCAAACTATTGATACGTGATAAATGCCATGTTACATATTAATATTATTATGCGACGATTAAGCACAAAACTCTTTACAGACAAACAAGTTCCATTGAAAAAGTCCTTGCTGATAGTGCACGCGGAACGATATATACAAAACGATAAAGTGTATAATATTCGTTGTTTCGAAATCATTATTATCATCTAATTTTAATAACCATTTTATACATACATATATTATTATGTATTATGATACAGTTCTACTTCCAACACTATAATATGTATGTATAATATAGGTACGTGGGAGTTGGTTTATTGTTTGGCATCATTTTATACTATATGACAAGGAATGCTATGCACGTATATAATAAATAATAACACAATATTCTATTTCGTTACAATAACCTCGTCGTTCGGTCGGGGAAATCGAGTTACTCACGTTGAGAAACTGCAGAAGCTAGTCGCTAGTGTATATTCTCATTATGAAATCAAATAAATACATGAGCAGCACGCTATACTAAAACTTCACGGTAATTTAACCCAAGACAATTTTGTCCACTTATCATCAACACATCACAATAACATATTATGTACACATTGAGCTCGGTTACACATTAAACATCTACTCATTTACAGTGTAAATGTTTTACACTACGGACTGCATCAATTGAAAATGTAAATAATTAATGGATATAATGACCATCATAACACGTGCCCGAAAATATTCTTTTTTTACAAATATGTATAATAAATACTAATAATAAATATAGGTAGGTACACAAAACCTATAATCTATATTTTACACGTCAATGATATAAATGACATATTGAGAATAATAAATTACTTTCAGTTTTCGTTTGGATTGTAAACTATAAGATAGATTCATTTAAGGATTGTAAATATCAATATGACTGCAGGGCAAAATAATTTTAATGAAATATACTCTCAACAAAGATCACGTTTAATTAAAAATAAAATACTTATTATTTAATTAAAAATTAGCACAAACGGGATGGATAATTCATTTTTAATTAGAAGTTTTAAACTCCATTTGAAAAAATGTGAACATAATTATTTTTGAAATAAAACATAAATTGATTAATTAAACATTGACATCGTTTACAAAATATAATAAACATTTAATCTCGTAACGATATATTGACTGTCATGTCTGTGCATCAGCTGTTAAAATAAATTTATTATTTTTAGAAGATTCTAATAAGGTTGGAACTATACTATGATTAAGTATTATTGTTTATTATATTAAAATAAGTGAGGTATCAAACATTTAAAATTTAAAAACATATTTATATTATAAGGGAGATTAAAGTGACAATTTACTGCACGTTCCTATATAATTACCTACCTACCTACCCAATTATTAATCTCCAGTGTATTTAATGAATAGTTTTTAAGTTATATCATACATTATTCAAAGGACAAACCAGTATTTTAAATGTTGACTTGTGTTGTAATCTGTATACAATTAATTGATTTAAATTATCTGGGCACCAGCATAGAAAATAATATTATACTAAATCGGAAGACATAGTCATCATGAATTACAATTGAGCAAAATACAATTTAAA